AAAAAGAACAAATTTCAAAGTCCTTACTCAGAAAACGCTCGAGATTACTTCAATGGGTATTAATGTTCAGTAACAAATAAGCAAAAATGGGTAAAGATATCCCCATTTGATCTCCAAATTATGCAGTGTAATTGCTAAACTATGTGGTGATGTAACCCCAGAGTAAAGCCTTCCTTGCTCCCAAGGTCGTACAATGTAGGAAAGAAATTGTCATCCCATATATTGTAAGTAAAAGATAATTGGCAAGGTAAAGGAGGTAGGAAGGTTCTGACGTAGCACAATCCGTTCTTTTATTGAATGGACTTGCATCTTGATAGGCTGTGAATTAGAAAAACTGAACTAAGCACAGGCCAGCAGGTGAAAGAGAGATACAAACTAAGCTCAGATACATATGAACCCAAACCTATTATTATACTAGTAAACATATTATACTACAGTACTTTCATAATCCCCAAAGTATGCGAGTTACCAGAAAACAGCTGAGGATGCTTCTGCTGAAGTATGCAGCTTGTCTAGTGACATACGTGAGAATCTGACACATACCTAAATGCTACATCTACACTGCAGGCTTCTCACGCAAGAGTTCTTGCGCAAAAGTCCTTGCACAAGAGCGTGTCCACACTGTTCAAAGGCATCACAAAAGCAAAGCGCTTTTGCGCAAAGACACCTCCCCCTCTTCCACCGAGAACCACTTTGGGCAGGGCAAAAGGGCACCAGGACCTTCTGGGGGTGGGGGCTGGAGCCCCTCTGAGACACATGCTTAAAGGGATCTCCCTGGTCAGCCGTTTCTCTGCTACTGCATGCTTTGGGACCTCTGGTAGGAACTGAAAGCTGTAGCAGTGCCAGTTGTGGTTGCCCTTAGCCTCTTTGGACACCACAGCTTGTGCCCTAGTGCTTTTGGGGACTTTTGCCTTCTGCTTGCTGTGCCATGGAGCCAGGGATAGCCCTGTATCTGCTCTGGCCCCACACAGACATTTTGGAGCGTGTGCAGCTGCTGCTCTACGCTGCCTCGCTACTCCTGCACGAGCTTGACACCAAGTTCAATCTGGACTACCTCTCCCTGAATGCAGTGGCTTCACTGTGGCATCTCTACCCGACCATGGAGAGGTGATACTGGAGACTTGACACTAGTTCCGACTGGTGGGACCGGCTGGTCCTGGAGCAATGGGACGACCAGCAGTGGCTCCAGAACTTTCAGATGCGGAAGCAGATGCTCCTGGAGCTGTGTGGCTGGCTCTCCCCTGCGGTCCTCAGATGCGACACCCAGCTGCAGCCTGCCATCCCCATCGTCATGAGGGTTGCTATCGACCTGTGGAAGCTGGCCACCCTGGACAGCTATTGCTCGGTGGCACAGCAGTTCGGGGTGGGCAGGTCCACAGTGGGTGCCATCTTGATGCTGGTAAGGCCCTTGGG